TGGGGGGCAGGGAGTGGGGGGAGCTAGGCGAGGAGGAGGGGGAGCTGGCAGCGGAGGTTTGAATAGGGAAGTTTTGCAGGGGTTACGTTTGCAGTCAGTCCGGTGTTTGCAAATATTGTGTGGGCTCGCGAGCGCGTCTCTGGACTCCGTCAGGATCTGAACCCGCGGCGCTTCACTGCTGTGCACTGAGTTTGCATGAAACTTTCCCCGCGCTGCAGGCACTGCCGCTGCGCTCCCGACTCCAGACCGCACACCTCCCTGTTGGTACAACAGCGGAGACTGTCTTTTCCAAACCGACATGGATGTACTCCCAATGTGCAGCATCTTCCAGGAACTCCAGATTGTGCATGAGACCGGGTACTTCTCGGCGCTGCCCTCCCTGGAGGAATATTGGCAACAGGTAAATAGGAATTGTGTGCCAGGTGCCCCGGTGCGCCGCGGAGGGTGCATGCACGCACGGTCAAGACGGTGTGTGGTTGGAGGTGCCTTGCTTTTTTTTTTTTTTTTTTTTAAATGGTTTGGGTAGAATTTTTAAAAATTAAAATAATTAGCCTTAAAACGTACTCCTGCTGCCTCCGGTGCGGGAGGCACTTTAAAAGGGCTTTTCCCAGCGTGGAGCGGAGTTGTCATTTGTGTGGGGCGCAGCAGCGCTTCGTCGCTCCCAGCGTTTTTGCCCGTTTCTGGGGCTTCTGAACCGGAGGGCAGACCCCGCTCCGCCGCCTGATCCCGACCTTGGCAGAAGTTTGGTGCTTGTACCAGCTCCAGACTCCACAGCTGGAACTTGTCATTTGAACTTGTGTGGAAGCCAAGGGTATTTTTTTTTTCTAAAGATATTTGTTTTTGTTTTCCTTTTTGGTCTTTGCACTTAGACGTGTTTTTTTTTTGTGTTTTGTTTTGTTTTAATTAGAAATTTCACCAGCAGAACATCCACCAGCTCCTTTTCTGTACCAGGCTATTTCCAGTTGCTTCTTTGGAATCCTTAACATTTACCTTCATCTGCCTTATTTTTCTTACCTGCTTCTTTTGTTAACAACAACAGAAAAAACCCAACAATGTTTGCACAATCAGTGACTTATCAGTCATATGACAATGAGCCCTTCAAGTCTGAGTCTGGGAAGAAGAGCCTGGGTTTCCGGCATTTTTGTAGTGAAACTGGAATTTTTGGCATTGGACAATTCTGAAACTTAATTTTTTCCCTTCTAATTTGTTAGGATTTCCTGAAGGGAGAGAGATTCTGACACTTGTCACCTTGTTTTTAAAAAGATAGAAGGGACTGTGTCTCTGCCCTGCTAGAATGTTGGCTTTTGTCACAAAGTACAAATATACTGTGGATTTCACAGCCTAGAAAGCTTTAAGAGAGATGAAATGCAAAGTGTGGCAACCTTCAAATGCCTGCTTAATTGTTCTCAGTCCTATCCTGCCTTCCTCTCCCCTCCCCCCTTTTCCTCCTTAAGAAGCTGCTCCCTAGGACGTGATTGAAATTGATCTAAGTAGTTTCCTTCGGGCATTTGGGATTTGGGCCACAGGCCAGGCTGAGCTCTCCTTTGCCTTCAGAGGCTTTTAAACTGTCTGAGAGCTTCGTTCTGTTCCCCAGTGCTCATCAACATAATGGAGATTTTAAATTAGCCAGATGATAAAGTTTAATAAGATCTCAATAAATGTGCTTTTGTTTTTCTTTGGAACATCCATAAAATATCTAGCCGTCTCTCCTCAGAGCACTCTGGTGTGCGTTATAACCCAGACATACAATTTTAGGGGTAAAGGGAAAACAATGGTTGTTTTTCCCCCTTTGCTTGCTCATGCTTGCTCTGTGAGGATTCTGTGGGGAGGGGGAAGGGTTTGTGATATATTACGATAGCAGGCATGTTGCTAAGAAGGCAAGCATGAGCCTTTTGGGTAGCTTAGCTAGTCCTGACCATGATTTGTTAAAAAGAGCAGAGCGGGCTGTAGAAATTTAAATCTGTAGAATTGTGGTCGTATAGACAACCTTATATGGCCATCTAGGCAATTGATCCTAGTGAAGAGAAAGGCAGATATAATTTAATCCTAAAATGTTTCCTACCATTTTTCTTTTCCAGTGGCTAGAAAGTTTGAGATGGTGGGGAGAGGGGATGCTGGTCTCTCGGCAGTTGTAGCTTCTTGAAAGGTTGGTGTGGGTCTGGGGAGGGGGCACTCTGTCCATGACACACTGCATGTATATCTGAACTGGGTTCTTTTTTGGCTGCTGGTCAGAATTTCAAAGGAAGTCTCCTCTGGCATTGCGTGAAAGAAATAGAGTGATGACTCATACAGTTGTACTCTTGGCCAGTAGATAAAGTTCTTGTCCATTGTGGCACTCCCAGCAGGGCCCGGAGGAATTTCCCCTCCTGCATCCTTTACAATAGCAGATGGCCATTCTGGAATGATTTCTCCACTCTGTTGTTGAAGCTCTTGTTTTTCTCTGACCACTGTGGAAGTCATTAAAGTTGTGTGCACCCATGGCCCTGCACTTGGGAATGGCATTGTTTGAAAGCCTACTAGGTCTGGGCTAAGCAGGAAGTGGGTGATTTCTGTGCAGCTCCATTGATGTCCTTGAATATAGACCATCAGCTTGCTGCGTCTGCTCACTGAGTGTGGCCCTGTGCTGTCAGCTGTGTCTGCAAAGGGAGACACATGCAATGTCAGAACACATTGCATTGCGAGCGGTGCAGCCTTTCTGTTTTGTGCTTGAGAAAGGAGTATGGCCTGGGCTTCTTTTAATTGCACATGGTTCTTGAGACTGTCAGATAATCTAGCTAAACCTGTCGGGGGTGTGTGTCTGAGGCTGGTTTTCTTTGTGTGGTTTACAGAAACTCATTAGAAATGTCAACACTGGTAACTATAACAAAAACTGGCCTAGTGACCTTCAGTCACCGTGGCCTTTGGTCCAACATGGTATTTCTTGAATCCATCCCCATTCCTAGAAACAGCTTTCCACTTGCTCTCCTAAAGACACGGTTCTTATAGTTACATGGCCACAGTCTGTTTGCCCTTCATCCCTGCATGTTTTTTGGAAATAAGCTTTTGGTTCCATTTTCGGTTGTCATAATCACGTGCCTTCTTGTGGTTCCTTTCTCACAGACCTGCCTGGAGTTGGAACGTTACCTCCAGAGTGAACCCTGCTATGTGTCAGCCTCCGAAATCAAATTCGACAGCCAAGAAGATCTGTGGACCAAAATTATTCTGGCTCGGGAGAAAAAGGAGGACCCGGAAGTGAAGGTTTCCTCCAGTCCCCCAGAGGATGCTCTCAGCAGCCCCAGCTTTGGTTACAACCTGGAGACCAACAGCTTGAACTCCGATGTGAGCAGCGAGTCATCTGACAGTTCCGAGGAACTCTCACCCACCTCCAAGTTTACCTCTGACCCCATTGGCGAAGTGCTGGTCAACTCGGGGAACCTGAGCTCCTCGGTCACCTCCACACCCCCTTCTTCTCCAGAACTGAGCAGAGACCCTTCTCACCTGTGGGGCTGTGCGCCTGGTGAGCCGCACCCTCCAGGGAAGATACGCAGTGGGACTTCGGGGAAGCCAGGTGACAAGGGCAGCGGGGATGCCTCCCCAGATGGCCGGAGGAGGGTGCATCGATGCCACTTTAACGGCTGCAGAAAAGTTTACACCAAAAGCTCCCACTTGAAAGCACATCAGCGCACTCACACAGGTCAGTCCCTCCTGCGACCTGGGAGGTGGGCCGCTGGTGGGCGCCACTGAATTGCACAGCCCTGGGAGGGGGCCGGGCTCCGCAGAAGGCTGTCAGAGCAGACACATCCTCACCTCACTCTTTCCCTTAAGAGTTGGGTCTCTGGGGAAGACAGAGTAGGAGGTGAAAGACTGGACATGTGCCCGATGAATGGTTGACACTTTCAGAGTAAACAGACAAGAGGTAAATCACATTCTCCGTCTCTACCCAACCCCCCACCCGCTCCAACCCTCCTGGTTATTGGGACCCATTGTGATAATGTTACCTGGAATTCCCTCTGATTGTTTTGAAATGAACTCAAGGATCAGGGGAGAGGGTGGCTGGGCAGCTTGGAGCACACTGGTGTTGACAGCTTGAGGATTGAGCTTGACCATAAACTGCATATGTAGCAATTTTGATCAGTGGGTGCTGACTGGGAATTTCTCTGTGGATCATGCTGCTTCTGTTTTCTGATACCAATTTTTTAAAAACCACGAATTAAAAAAACAACACTTTTTAATGAAATACCATAACCTAGATGAAAATTCCACTTAAATTATAGTCTTTAGGGTAACTGGTGATGAGTCACAGAAATTTTAGAGCCAGAAGGGATCTTTGACATCAAGTCACTCAAGCTGTTATCTTACCAATAATGAGAGGACATGGCTGAGCCCTCAGTCAGGGTCCCCAAAATGTTCATGGCAGAGTGGGATCAGGACCCAGGTGCCATTTGTCCCAGCAGCATTCTCTAGGACTGGTTGTGGCAAAATGTTTAATATCCTTAGGTAGCACTTTCAGTGAATTCATATTTATAATCTGACCAAGGAACAAAGTGGACTTGGTTATTTCATTGCCACTTAGAAAGTTCTTTGAAGGCCCTCGATGGGGTTTCCCAGAAACTCATGACTTCAGTTCTGGAGAAATGTAGTTTCTCGGAGGAAACAACAAAGCTCATTCCACAGGGAAGTGAGTAAGGAGCAAAATAAGTACTTGGGAGAAACCGTTTCCATGGAGAAAGCAATAAAACCCTGCCCTCACAGAGGCTGTGGGTCCAGTGGGCTGACACATCACCTCTGAAGTATTTCTTCAGTCTGAGTAATCGTCTTTCTTACATGTTAGCTGAATACGGTCATGTGGGCTCTGGGTCTCTTCCACAGCATTTGGAGGCCTGAGGCTAGGTCAGGAAAGAGCTCCTGGGTGTTACCTTCCGAGCGCCAGCTGCTGTTCCTAATTGAGGTGTGTGAGGAATTCCTGAGGCCACCAGACCTGGAGCTTGCTAATGAGTTGACTTTCACCATGTGCAGGGCCCCTTCCCTCACTGCTCAGTGAAATCATGGCATGCTTGTCCTGTGCTCTCTTCCCAGGAGAAAAGCCTTACAGATGCTCATGGGAAGGGTGTGAGTGGCGTTTTGCAAGAAGCGATGAGTTAACCAGACACTTCAGAAAGCACACTGGTGCCAAGCCTTTTAAATGTTCTCACTGTGACAGGTACGTGCATGAAGCACTGGGTTCGGGAATGCCATCCCCATAATGGAGTAGGCATACAGTAAACCTGAAGAAAGGCAGATGTTTTCCTGTCCTGTATTGGCCTTTTTTTTAGCCTAGGACTTTAAAAAGAAAAAAAGTCTCTAATATGCCAGTAGTCGAAGTTTGGGTGCTCTGGGTCCTGTGTGTGTAAGACTAGAGTGATTTCATTACTACTTTCTAAAGCTAGGCCTTCAGCAGTTTTTGAATTTGAAGACCAAGCAGTAAGGTCAGGTTAGAAGCTCTAAAGAGCTGAATGGAGACCTTAATTTATATTCCTATCAGTTGGAATTTCCTGCCCCTTAATATGAATTGTGATGACTCAGTGGATTGCCAGCTACCCTTCAAGAAGGGTTAGGTGGGGGCGTGCAGGGTGGGAGGCCTGTAACCTAGCCAGGGCTGGAGACCTAACCTCTCTGATGCTGATTCGCTCTGCAGGTGTTTCTCCAGGTCCGACCACCTGGCCCTGCACATGAAGAGGCACCTCTGAGGGAGCAGAGTGTGAATCCTGCAGCTAAAACGGCTTCCAGGCTGAGAGACGGCCATGGAAGGAGGGTGCGTGTTCCAGCCAAAGCATGCCATTTTGCACCCCACCCAGTTGCCTCCAGGACCTCTCCTTGGAAGGTCTTTCGAGGGCAAAAGAAGTCATGTCAGAAGCGGCAGAGCGCCTGTGGTGTGTGGTGTTTTGGTGGCCTGGACTCGCCACTGGTACCTATCTTCTGAGTGGTCCCTAAGCCTTTGCCGTGAGCATGTGCACTGAGAATGTTAATGGTTGGGTTGACTGTATGTGGAGGATCTAATAGGACTGTGTGATGAGGCAGAGTCTTTCTTGTGCAGTAGCAAGACTGCAAGAGACAGAAAAAAATGTCGTTTGAATGTTTTGTGTGTGACAGGTAAACCATGAGATGAGATGACCACCAATCATTTCCTGGGGGGGTGTCTGCGCCTTAGAAAAAAAAAAAAAAAAAGGAGGGAAAACATGGAGGGCGGGAGTATGAATGGTTAGAACCCTGCGTGGGGAGTGGGTGTGGGAGGGGGAGCCCTCCTGTGTGAGAGGAACTTTGTCGTCTGGTGCAGCTATGAAACGTGCAATGTCAAGTAGCTTGTTCTACTGGCTACAACAGCTCATTTGTTACCCGTTGTATAAGCTGTGTATTTACAAAATATAACACAATGGTAACCTTTCCTTATAAGACAAAAGTAATGCATGGTCTAGGGAACTTTCTGCTTTTCCATTTTTAAATCAGAACTACAATTTTGATTCCAGTTACTGAGCAGCTAAGATACAATTTGTCAAAATCAGTGATCCTTAGCCATCTGGGCCTGGCAATACACAATTTCTCTCCCCTTCAATTTTATAACACTCCCCTTCCAGAAAGATGGCAAGCAACATAGGATTATTTTTTAAATGATTCTGAATTTGATGACCTATTTGGAGAATTTAGTGATGCCCTTCGAGACATTGGACACACGCTGGGTGTCAAGAATGCGAGGGCTGGGAACTCCTGGTCTAACGTTACGTTAGACTAAGAACCTAAAATTTTTCTCAGTTGGGTGGATAAAACCACTAAAGCTTACAAAGTGTTTTCTCATGCAGCTACGTTTCTCTTATTTATGCCTTGAGGACTAATTTCTGGTTTTCTAGCTGTTAATGCACTGTAGATCTTAATAATGGTGCCTTATGCAAGTGGCCCCTTATACAGGGGTCTCATACAGGGGTATGGGTGATGCATGCTTTATTAAGGCTCTTTTTTCACCTGGCATTGTACTGTATCAATGTAAAATACAGAAAAAAATCTCTTTCAAGTCCTCCTTCACAAACACAAATAGAGAGATGAATCCCCCCCAAACAAGTCAGTATTTACTCAGTATTTTAGATAACTAAACCGTCAGTGTTAAAGTGGAAAACATGATAATTGGAAAATCTGACCATTTCTGCCACCATGGGACTTTTCATATAGACTTTGCACAACAATTGTATAGATAACACACAGGCTGTATTTAATATGTAATGTTTTCACGCATATTAAAGATACAGAATTATAAAAAACAATGTTAATGTATTTGCTTAAAAGGCACAAGTTTCACATACCTATCTAGCTATCTGTTGGTAATACAGAAAGTATATTAATTTTTTTTAAAGTGGGCAGAATTCTTGTGTATGTATATTTGTGTGTATAGTATGTATATGTGTGTGTGTGTATATATATATACATATATATATAATATATAAATATTTTTTTAAGGAGAAGTTAGATGTTTAGCTAGAAAATTTCACAGCCTGTGAAGAAATATTTCAAAATGGCCATAAAGGAGGTAAAAATAAAAACTATAACTTTTATAAAGGCTTTATCTTTAATTTAATGATTTGCTACATTCTCTTGGCTTGGACTCTGTTCCAGACTGCTGACTTTGCTCGTCCTTATTGGCAGGTATGGAACAGGGTACTGTTGGCTGTTCAAAAGTGGCGTGAACAGAATACTAGCCCATGAGTTGGTCTCAGACACACTGTGGTTTTGATTTTGAATTTCAGCCTTATTAGAAGATCTAAGAGTCAACTTATTACAGGGATTTTTTAGAACACTTTTTATGCAGATGAAGATTTTTTTTTTTTTAGTACATAAATTCTTCCCATTTTTCCAATGAATAATTTCCCTGAATTGGCACACCGCAGTATGGACAGCTGATATTTCATCCAGCTGCTGGCTTGTGGGTGTGGATCTTTTCTTTATATATATATACATATATATACACATGTGAGTCTGGCTGGGCTGGTATTTTGTTTGATCTTCCTGGAAATGAGCAATGATGAAAGCTCACATAACTGGTTTTTTATCTGGGCTGATGAAGACACTTACCTAAAGAACTCATTTCATTTTGCTAAGGGGGAAAATGCACTTTTGGCAATTCAAAATCCAGGCACTTGATTTGCTGGATTTTGGAAAACTCCTTTTTTGGCCCTGCTGTGCGCCTAGCCATAACAATTCCATTAAGCAAGAAGGTAAACAAAAGACAAAAAAAAAAAAAAAAAAAAAAACCAACTTGCACTGGCTTGTCTCACTTATGAAACACCATGGAGTTGTTTGATTGGGTGGGGCTGGGTGCCATGTATATCAATGCCTATAATTTTCATAATAAGCAAGTACATAAAGAATTACATTCTGTTCAGGTGATAACTGAGCCTCAATCAAGCAGAAACTTTTTGCTTGACATTAAAGAAAAAAATTTCTATTAGTGAAATTTCTTTTTTTTTGAAGCACCCTGTTATCTAAAGAATCTTTGTAAGATTTTTGTAAAATTTTGTTTTACGAGACTTTATTTGAAATTGTTTTTTGCAAGATTGTTATATTTCTGTATGAATGTATTTTTTATTGGAATAACATAAAAAAAATTCTTATCAGCATCTTGACTCTGGTGGTTTTTTTCTTGGGGGGGGTTGGGGGAGGTTGAAACAAATTCCTGCCCTATTAATCAACCTTGGGAAATCTCCCTTGTGCAACCCAGAAAGCCACTTGCCTGCCTCATCCCTTCCTTTCAGCCTCACAGCCTGACCTGGGAGCTAATGTGCAAAGAGCAGCCTGATGTTGCTCCGCTGATATGCACTGAATTCCCTTCTCCAGAGACAGGAAAGCAACAGCCAGCCTTCGGGGCACAGTAGGAAAACATTTGCTGTGTTTCATCTTCCTGTCACTCCGGCCAGAGGAATATGCTGCAGAGGCGTCTGCACAGTGACAGACTCGAATGCCTCCTTCCCCTTCCTCGCGCTGCAGCAGCCCTGCTCCAGTTAAGCAGTTAGAGCAGGGCCAGCCTCTGACCTGGCCCATGCACCTGGCTGAGATGTCACCCAGGAAGGCGAAAATGACAAGAGGAGGGACAGCAGGTCCAGAAGCTGTCCTGGCTTTCTACAACCCACCCTTTCATACCCCCTGCCTTCTCTGGTTAGACCAGGAAAAGAGGGCAGAAAGTAAGAGGTGGTGTACATGGTCACCAGATGATTTTATATATTTTTTTAAAAGTCCAATGGGATACATTCAATGTAGAATTTGAAAATAAATAGTCCACTTTTGGATTTTTAAAAGGGTTTCATGTAAATAGCGTTAGATCTTGGTCCCAGTTTTACTGTGAGTCCATTTTCAGGCCATATAAGCTAATCAATAGTGACAGGTAAAAGCAATGTGCTTTCTAGAAGAGGCCATAGGATGGTGGAAATTTCCATGGGAAAGCTTAACGTGCTTAGTTTAACTGTGAGGAAGTTCTCACATTTCAGTTGCTTTAAATGCTCATGACTTCCCTTCATAGGGGATCTTTGTTTTGCTATATATGCAGACTTTACACTAGTTGCTTTTAATTTTATAATTGGGGAGGGGAATTTTAAATGAATCCCCAGATTAGGAATGTTAAGTGACTTTCTAGAACTGCAATAAAAATATCAGTAATTCGGGAGGAGTTGTGGTGTGGGAGGGGGAGGAAGCAGATGAAAATTTGGCTAGGACTCATGGGTGTGTTGTGTTCTGAAACACATGTCAGGATGACTAATAGTTGGATTGCCCTGACTGTCCGGCTAAATAAAGGCTTGATAATGCATTCTCGGCTACTGGTAGGACTTGACCACTTTGTCATGTGCAGACTATGCTGAACTGCTCAGTTATGTTCAAATAAGGCTGTTAGGAGAACTGTTGTTCAAGGAATCAGCTGTAAACCCAGCATATTTATAGAAGTATAAAAAATTGCAGTCTGTTTAACAAATTTTTTGAAACCTAGTTCAGAGAAAGAAAACGCTCCCATTCTAACTAGTCTCTGTGAGCTCTTGAACAATTTGCTGAACTACAATGGACCTCCACTTTCTTAATGTTGAAATATTTTAAGCTAGGTCACATGTATTTAGCATTTTATATAGCACTACAATTCTGTGGTCTGTGAGTATAGGGTGGACTTCAAATTACAGGTGCACCATCTGCAGATGCTCGGCTCAGATCTAGAAAGTTTTCTCTTGTGCTACAGTGGAAAGTATTGTTGAGAAAATTGCTCTGACTTAAAAAGGAAACAGAACGTTCTCAAATTGCCCTTTGCCCCTTTAATTATAGTTAAGTTATTCAGGCATTTGGTGCTTGATAGCATGCCATTATTTTATTTAAAACATAAACAAACAACCTCTTTGCAAAGTGCCATTGTAGCCATTACAGATCCAAGCCTCTCAAGGTCCCCCAATTCACCAGTCTTACTCCACACATCCAGGCTGACCTGTGTGCACAAACAGTGGTGGGAGTCAAGTTGTTTACCTTTGTACTGTGGTTGCTGTGGAGAAAGAACATAGCTTTCCTATGTAACTCCTTTCTTAGGTTCCAGCCTTATGGCACCATGAGCTATTTTTTAACAACCCTGCTTCCTCAACTAAATTGTTCCTCTCTCCAAGTTGCATGGTAATGAAGATGATCATATCTACTACTTCTTGTGCTTTACTCAGGAATTGGGTAGGCAATATGTCATATCTGTGTGTACGTGTGTGTACGTGCATGCACGTGTGTGTGTGTATGACCTGCAGAATGCCACACTGTATGAGCCATCCCCATTTCACAGATAAGGAATACTGAGGCTTCAGGAAATTAAGCTGATTTTCCTAGCTCACTCAGCTAGGAAGCTGCAGGCAAGCATCCAATCCAGTGTTCTCAAATGCCGAAGGAAAGACCAAGGTTTTAATCACCACTGAACACTGGGTTCTGTCTCACCCAAGTTCCCACAAGACCCTTCCACTCCTTCTGTCAAATTCACCTTAAAATGAAGTTACATTTATGAAATGGAGACAACTTTCTTACAATTCAGAAGCACTAAAGCTCTAAACTGTGCTGTAATTCTGAGCAAACAAAGTAACCATTTTGAATTGCTTTCAAGATATGAGACAGATGGCATGTATTTATTTTTAATGTTTAAGAAGATAGAGAACACAATTGGGGATGTGACATCCTGCATT